ATATTACTGCTCTCAACAATTTTACTGCTAAACCGCTGAGAGATGGTGGATCTGCTGTGCAGGGAAACATTAGCTTAGGACAAACATGCTAAAATTTATACAAAGGAAGCAAACAAACAGAAGTCTCAAGGAGGATTTTTTCCACGTGCAATTAAAATCTGACATTTCCACCTGTAGGATTGGGTACAAGGATGAAGGAGAGGCTTAGGGAGGACTCTAGACCTGCGTTGTAAGATCGGCTTGTAAATGCCTACCTCGTCAAGCTCCACAGCTCTCACCAGAAACACACTTTCCCCTTTTCCAGAAGCTGTTCGTTTCTCCTTGTAAAAGTGACTACTTCAAAATGGGCAGGGGGGCGGGACACAAATATAAAGCGAGCTAAAGCTGCTGCATAGAGTATCCAATCACCTCTTGATCAATCACAGCCCCCCCGCAAAACAACAGCAACAAAAACAAAAACTAACCAAACAACCCACAACATTTTGTTTCGTGATCTGTGGCAGGGTTTAGAAAAACTGCAAAACTAATTATTGCCTGCAGCTGTCACACTGATTTGTGTAGAAAAGGAAACTGTTGGTTAAAAGATCTCCAACCCGCAATCCTTGTGGGCTTTGCACTACATTTTGACAAGTGCCTGGAAACAGAGAACCTGCATTTGCTTAAACTAATCTGTTTTATTTTTTATTTGGTATGCAAATAAACAAAACATATGTACAGAGCTAGACACAGCATGTGAAAGAGAGGTGCTGGATATCATCTGGGATGAATCCAGAACCGGTGAGCAGAAGAGAGGGTGGCATTCAATGTCGTGTGAGTGGGACTTTTCTCCCTCTCCTTTTCTTCTGCCTGCAGACCCCACAATCCCAAATTGCTTCAGAGCATCCCTCAACCTCATGGTCAGGGATGATGGGAGATGTAGTGCAAAACACCTAGAGGCCGCCAGGTTAGTAAAGGCCAGTTAATGTAACCCTGAGCTAGATTACCACAGCAGCACTTGCAAAGGCTCAGACATTCAGCTGATCCTTGGCGCTTGCAAAATCCTGCTGTCCCTTTGCAAGTGCTGGTGACCACAGCAGGCACTGCCCACCAGCTAGTTGTCAGCAGCTGCAAAGCCCTGCTCTTCTTTTGCAAGTGCCAATGGTCACTGCAGCACTTGCAAAGGCATTCTGATCAGCTGTGGTGCCTGCAAATTGGACTTTCAGCAGAAACTTACCACCTTTACCTGCCCTGCATCTTATCTCATATATGTTGTCAAGTGTTTGTTTAAGTTATATACCACTCTTCATCACAAGATCTCAGGGTTATTGTTGTTGTTTAGTCGTTTAGTCGTGTCCGACTCTTCATGACCCCCTGGACCAGAGAACTCCAGGAACAGTAAGAGCTGTTCGACAGTGGAATTTGCTGCCAAGGAGTGTGGTGGAGTCTCCTTCTTTGGAGGTCTTTAAGCAGAGGCTTGACAACCATATGTCAGGAGTGCTCTGATGGTGTTTCCTGCTTGGCAGGGGGTTGGACTCGATGGCCCTTGTGGTCTCTTCCAACTCTATGATTCTATGATTCTATGATTCTATGAACTCCTGTCTTCCACTGCCTCCCGCAGTTTGGTCAATCTCATGCTGGTAGCATCAAGAACATGGTCCAACCATCTCGTCCTCTGTCATCCCCTTCTCCTTGTGCCCTCCATCTTTCCCAACATCAGGGCCTTTTCCAGGGAGTCTTCTCTTCTCATGAGGTGGCCAAATACTGGAGCCTCAGCTTCAGGATCTGTCCTTCCAGTGAGCACTCAGGGCTGATTTCCTTCAGAATGGAGAGGTTTGATCTTCTTGCAGTCCATGGGACTCTCAAGAGTCTCCTCCAGCACCATAATTCAAAAGCATCAATTCTTCAGCTTGTCATGGCAAAGGGGCTTAAATAATTCAAAGAAGCTATTAGCTATGCTATGCAGGGCCACCCAAGACCTACAGGTCATAGTGGAGAGTTTTGACTAAACGTGATCCACCTGGAGCAGGAACCGGCAAGCCACTCCAGTATCCCTGCCAAGAAAACTCCATGGGCAAGATCTCAGGGTAGTTTACAGGATAAAATGCAGGGCAAAAATAACAAAGTTGTTACAGTTAAGGTCATTTTGAATCCCAATTCTGTCTTGTGGCATTAGCTGCCCACTCCAGTTTGGACGATCATCTAGCCCAACCTGCTACAATACAGAGAATTGGCTGGCCACTGTGAGGAGAGAGCGCTGGACTTAGATGGGCCCCCTTTGGCCTCACCCGGCAGCCAGGCTCGTTGTATGCCTCTGGATTGCATAAAGACATAGGGCAAGTAGGTGTGGCTTGGCCAAAATGGCCTCATGGGCCAACTGGGGAAACTTGCTGGGCTGAGCCTTCAGACCAGAGGTCTTCTACCTGTGAGCTAGACGGCAGAAGGTTCTTTCCTCTGACTGAGATACAGTGGTACCTCTGGTCGCGAACAGGATCCGTTCCGAAGGCCCGTTCGCAACATGAAAGGAACGCTACCTGCAGCAGCGTGTCTGCGCACACGCAGGTTGCGATTCACCACTTCTGTGCATGCGCGTGATGTCATTTTGCGCATCTGTGCATGCACAATCGGTGAAACCCTGAAGTAACCCTTTCTGGTACTTCTGGGTCACAACGGGACTTAACCTGAAAGAACGTAACATGAAGCAGACGTAACATGAGGTATGACTGTATTTCTATTCAGAAACAAATGCATTTGCTTATAATCCCAAAGGTATACCTTAGCATTATCCATAAGATTATGGGGTGCTTATTTAGACTAAAGCATTGAACACACACACACAGTGCTAAATTTGGACACACTCTTTATGTTCAATCTTCCGGGCACTTTCCAACAGCACAGAATTTCCTTTCAAAAGGAGACAATGGAAACAAACATTTAATGTGCAGGTTGCTCTTGGGAAGGTAATAGTTTCCTCTTGTATCGAAGGGAAGAGGGGGCAGCCTTCACTTTTCAACCTGCCTCCTTACCGCCTGCCGAGTAAGAAATGAAATCCTGTCAGGCATGACGAGGCACGAATCACGGCTACCTCTGTCCATAAAAGTAAAGCAAGGGAAGGTGGGGGGAAAGGGAGGGGGGAGCCTGGAACCTGAAAAGGGAAGCTATTTAATTTAATCAGTTTTAATTCTAGCAATTACACAAACCCATAGACTGAAATGCCAACTCTCAGCAGGATGCAAACAAATAAATAAAAGTTGCATAGCTAACTTTTTCTCTTTTTTTGTTCCTGAAAGGATTGGTTTAGGTGGATGGATTGCTGAGAGCACTAGATGAAGGCTAGGCTAGCATGCCAAATGTTGCAGGTGTGAGATAGAGATGCAGAATACTGGAGGGAGGGGGGTATTGCGTTGGATTTGGGTCGAACACATACATAGCTTCATGTCCTCCTCACAAACTCTTTGCCTATGCCATGAGGACTTTGTAAAGTTGTATGCTATGTGGTGATCTCAGAGGGTGTCCGCATTTTAGTGAGGGGAGCAGGTTTGTCAATGACTGACAGCAGCAATTCTGACCCATTGCAATGGGGTTGGACTAGATGACCCTTGGGATGCCTTCGAATTCTGTGATTCTATGATTCTAGTATCAGGGAACCAGTGGTGCCTGTTAGGCCTGGTGGGGTGGAAGGCAGGAAGGCCAACAAGAGATGGAACCAGAGCCAATAACAAGCAGATGCAGCTAACTGTAGTTTTGTCACCATCCTCCTCCCTGATGAATTCTGCATGGCAACAATGGGGCTAAGGAAGAAGAAGCAGGCAGCCAGTGCCACAGGCTGAATTAGATGCAAGTAAGAAGGGGTGGCGCTGTAGATTAAACCACAGAGCCTAGGACCTGCCGATCAGAAGGTCGGCGGTTTGAATCCCCGCGACGGGGGTGAGCTCCCGTTGCTCAGTGCCTGCTCCTGCTCACCTAGCAGTTCGAAAGCATGTCAAAGTAGATAAATAGGTACTGCTCCAGTGGGAAGGTAAATGGTGTTTCCGTGTGCCACTCTGGTTCACCAGAAGTGGCTTAGTCATGCTGGCCACATGACCCGGAAGCTGCTCTGAGCCCGGCCTTGGCTGGGGAGGGCAGGGTATAAATAAAAATTATTATTATTATTACACCGGCTCCCTCGGCCACTAAAGCGAGATGAGTGCCGCAACCCCAGAGTTGGTTACAACTGGACCTAATAGTTAGCAGTCCCTTTACCTTTACCTTTAAGAAGGCTGGTAGGTGGTGGCTGAATGAGAACAGGTGGAGGTTGTTGGGGTGATGCCTTGTTCACTCTACTGGATAAGCCTCCTTTGCAGGGAATGCATTTTGGGTAGTGGTTAGAGCAGGGTTACCCAAACTTGCGCCTCCAGCTGTTTTCATATTACAGCTCCTTAGCTAGCAGGACCAGTGGTCCGGGATAATGGGAATTGCAGTGAAAAAACAGCTGGGGGCCCAAGTTTGGGAAACCCTGGGTTAGAGAATTGGACTTAAAATAAAGATGGGGAAGGAATTTGATTCACTTTTGCAGTGGAGCTTCATTAACTATGGACCCCAAAATCTGGGATCCCAACATTGGTTTTGGGGTGACCTCATGACCCACGGGTTTGAGAGGCTATTGCTCCGATTGTGGGGTGCTACAAAATGTGGGATTTTCACTACGAAATGCTACAAAATGACTACAGAACTTTGGCACCCGTTTCAAGGGGATTGGCAACCTTTGGCTTTGGGGTGTTAACTATGAACCTGGGTTTGACGTATCAATTACTCCATTTGTGGGGCACTATAAAATGTGAGGTCTTCGCTACAAAACGACTACAAGACCTTGGCACCGATTTCAAGGGGATCCCAGATTTTGGGCTTCATAGTTGATGAAGCTTTGCAATGAACTCATCTGACCCGACATGCCTGAACTTTTCTGTAGATCAGATTACACACACCTCTAATTTTGCTCTGGATTTTACAACTCAGTTTTAGTAGACAATAAATGTACACAAAAATAGATAGCTTAGTTGGTAGAGCATGAGACTCCTAATCTCAGGAACATGGGTTTGAACCCCACATTGGGCAAAAAGTCCTGTTTTGCAGGAGATTGGACTAGATGACCCTCATGGACCCTTCCAACTCTGTGGTTCTGTAATTCTATGTGTTTTATGTAAAATGTGCATGGGAAAGGTGTATTTTATTTTACTGGTGAATGCACTGAATGTACAAAGGTTTCCATATACACATTTCTTGGTGGAGGTTCCTACCTCTAGTGGTAGGTTAATAAGGTGGTAAGAGCTGTTTGACTGTGGAATGGACTCCCTTGGCAGGTGATAGAATACTCTTCATTGGAGGTTTTTAGTTAAAGCTATGGTTTTCCCAGTAGTGACGTATGGAAGTGAGAGCTGGACCATAAAGAAGGCTGATTGCTGAAGAATTGATGCTTTTGAATTCTGGTGCTGGAGGAGACTCTTGAGAGTTCCATGGACTGCAAGAAGATCAAACCTATCCATTCTGAAGGAAATCAGCCCTGAGTGCTCACTGGAAGGACAGATCCTGAAGCTGAGGCTCCAAGACTTTGGCCACCTCATGAGAACAGAAAACTCCCTGGAAAAGACCCTGATGTTGGGAAAGATGGAGGGCACAAGGAGAAGGGGACGACAGAGGACGAGATGGTTGTATAGTGTTCTCGAAGGTGCCAACATGAGTTTGACCAAACTGCGGGAGGCAGCGGAGGACAGAAGTGCCTGGCGTGCTCTGGTCCATGGGGTCACAAAGAGTCGGAAACGACTAAATGACTAAACAACAACAACAACAAACCAGAGGCTGGATGGCCATCTGACATGGATGCTTTGGTTGAACTGACCTTCAGAAAGTTCTTCCCAATGTTTAGTTGGAATCTGCTTTCTTGCAACTTGAATCCATTGGTTTGGGTCCTACCCTCCAGAGCAGGAGAAAACAAGCTTGCTCCATCTTCCACATACATATGAATGACTGGGCTCATCCTGAGCATTGCTCTGATGGAATCTCATTGCTTTCTGTTTTTATGAAGCTGCTCATAATACCCCCTAGCAATATTGTTGAAGTCTTGTAGACGGGCCAAAGAAATAATAATAAAAAGAGTCAGAAAATAATGATCAGAATTAGTCCCACAGACAAAGAAATCCTTTGAAACCCTAAGCATATTGTGCTAATTATTCTTGTGTAGAAAAGAAGATTAAAAAATTAGAACGCTTGAGCAGATCCAGAATGTCCGGCGTCTGAAGAAAATGAGTAAATGTGCTTTAGAACAGAGAGGAGTTTATTCCCCTCCCTTCAGACAGGTTTAGTATTGCATTTTTGACACATCCATTCTGCAAGAGGCAAGCAAGGCCCAACTCTTTCTTATTTTGCTTTCCTTGCTCTACCAGAATCAAAGCAGACCGTCAAATGCTGGGGTCGAAGCAGGAAAGTAGATTCAGTGGTCTAAACTTGAGACTCTAGCTTGCAAATAGCTTTGGCGATGGACAATGCTGTGCAGCCAGTTAAATGTGGCGGGCAGAGTCATTCATTTTCTCCTTATGGAAAGCATCAGAACATAAGAATAGCCATGCTGGATCAAACCAATGTCCCATCTATTCCTGCATCCTTTTTCCACAGTAGTCAACCTGATGTCTATGGGAAGCAGTAATCACATTAGTTTGAGAGGCAATTTTATATAGGAATTCAAAACCACTGAATTCCTCAGCCATCCCCAGGGATACCCATGACGTTCTGCCAATGTCAGACAAGAGAACCACCAAAATTTTGTTGTCACAAATGATCTCACTCAGTTCAACATGAGAATCTCCGTCGTAACTTCAGATGCACTGAATTTTGAAATGCACATGTTGAGATTTGTGCCTCCTGACAAAAAAGTGTGTGTGTGTGTGTGTGTGTGTGTGTGTGTGTGTCACATGAAAATATGAGAGGGTTGAGTACAGGGCTTAGCATATTTCAAAGTTACGGATTTCAGAACTTTTTTAAAGGAAAGCCTTCCTGGAACAATGGAGTTTGTTCCTTTGCTTTGTTTGTTGCAACTTTAGAGTTGCTTTCTAAGGGGTCTTCCTCAACCCTACCTGGAGATGCTGGCAGAGACTAAACCTGGCTACTTCTCCATAAAAGGTACCTGGTCTGCCACTGAGCTATGGCCCTGCCTCATAACAGACCCAGTGTATATTTTCTGCATATTTAGAGAGGCAGCTCAGAGTAGGTGCTACCATCTACATCAGCTTTTCTCAACTTGTGGGTCCCCAGATGTTGTTGAACTACAACATACATACATACATACATAAAATAATAATAAAAATGAAGTTAGGAAGTTAGATTGGCTTCAACCAGAGCCAGGGCCTTTTCAACTCTGGCTCTGGCCTGGTGGAACGCTCTGCCTCATGAGACCAGGGCCCTGCAGGATCTGATTTCTTTCCACAGGGCCTGTAAGACAGAGTTGTTCCGCCTGGCCTTTGGCTTGGAGCCAGTTTGATTCCCTCCCTCTCTTTCTTTTTTTCTTTCCTTCTCCTCCTGCGTTGAGGCTACGTTTTATTTAATGTTGTAATATTTTAATGTTGTATTTTAATTTTGTTTTTAAGTTGTAATCATTCAACTTGTTTTTATTATTGCTTGTAAGCCGCTCTGAGCCCCTTGGCTGGGGAGGGCAGGGTATAAATAAAAAATTATTATTATTATTATTATTATTATAACTCCCATCACCCCTAGCTAGCAAGGCCAGAGCTCAGGGATGATGGGAGTTGTAGTCTAACAACATCTGGGGACCCACAGGTTGAGAACCACTGATCTACATGAATGTCCCAGCCACCTTGATCACAGCCCAGTCCAGAAGCGCATTCAGGTGTCCAGCGACCCACCTCCAGTGGAGTTGTAGGCACACTAATGCATCAGTAGAGTAACAGCAAGAAGCGAGGCTGTGGAGGCATTGGCATTGTGAAAGCTTCCCTTATTTACAAACCAAAACAACAAACATGGCTAGTGTGAGCAGCAGCTTCACACGTCTGCTCTGTCCGAAAGCAACGAACAAAGAGGAAAAAATACAAAAGCACATAGGACAGAATTACAGTGTCTAGTTCCATTCCCACACTCCTAGCAGAAAGGAATGTAAACATTGGATCGCAAGATCCAACAGCAATGGAGAATGAAAATGCTAACACTACACACTGATCAGCAATGCCAGCCCAGCTTAGGCTGTGAGGGAGTTAGGTAATTTCAGAATCTGGATTTAATAGTCTGATAGAGCATTCTCACCACCACTGCTGCCTTTAGATGGTAAAGTTCATCACTTACCTTACTTCAAAATATGGTTAGCCACTCCTGCTGTGTTTGAGGGCGCCCTACCTTAAAGACCTGTTCTGCCTCACCCAGATTAGCCATAGTAGCTCCATGTCTGAGAACCAGAAGCTAGGGAGAAGTAACAAATGGAGGGCATCACCCTCATGACCTCCACTGTCAACTTCTCAGTGGCCTCTAGCTGGCTTCTGATGCAAACGGACTCCTGGATGAGATGGACCTTAGTCTGCTACCAGCAAGGTAGTTCTAATTCTTGTGCTACTCTTCAGTTTCAACAGGTTTCTGGAGTGGCTTGCAAGTATCAGCAGTGACAGCCCCTGATTTCAGGATTGCAATTCAAAAGACACAGCACAAGAGGAAGAAGGAGGCAGGGAAGCAAGAGGGGTGCAAGTTCTCAGTAAAGAAGTTCTAGCTGGAATGGATCTATCTGAAGAGGAGTCAAAACCTGGTAGTCTTTCAACAGAGCCAATGGAGAGACCCTTTTGTCTCTTCCTCCCCTGTAGCCAATGGAACGGCTGAGGGAAGATGTCCTTAGAGTGCCTAACTAGCACCTACCATCAGATAAATGTGGGTGGGGTGCTGGTTCTATCTATAGATTTGTTCCTAAGAGCCTGGAAAGGTTCGTCACTGTTCCCAATTAAATCACCATAACCTTCAGCGATGGTGCATGTTAGGTGAACATACTATCTAAGCCTCTATCTCTCTCTTTTCAATTTTCTAGTCCAGATTCCCATGGTGGTTCCATTAGTGTCTTCCTGATGTTCAGCTTGTTTACAGAGAGATCAAACACGGGTCTCATTGCCAGTAAGGGTGGGGGTAAAGCCAAAGGGACCCAGAGATAACTCAAAAGAAAGCACTATAGATGAAACAGCCGAGGCCTTTTGAATCATGCTCTGTGAGCCAGCCTCATCATCTCCCTTTGTCATTCATGTCTTATCTCGGAGTGTGTGCGCACACTCACATACACACACACAGACACAAACACACACCAAATGCCACTTATTAGTGTGCCTTTATATCACTGATCCAATCAGTCGCGCAGAGCAAAAAAGAAACCTGTCCAAGCTAATTTTTTCAAGCTGTCCTCAGGGAGTCCAGCCCATGTGAGAGATGTATGTTTTTCATTAAGGTTTTACGTTTGCATTTGGGTATAATTAATCCTAATGTTTCAATCTTCATATAATAGGCTTATTTTGGAAGAACAAAAAGGCTCGCACAGGCACAGAAAGCAAATCCCTGGTGGATGCGGGCGGATGGTCACATGGGGAGGAAAGGAAATGGGATGATTCTCGCCAACATTCAGCCTTCCTCTTTCATCTCTCTTCTTCTTCTTCTTCTTCTTCTTCTTCTTCTTCTTCTTCTTTGGGGGGAGAAGCACCTGGAGCTTCTGGATGAGACTCTCTCTTTTTGATGTCATTTGTTTAGCTAGAGAAAGAGTGTAGGGACGAGTGAGAGCGAATTTAGGGACTCTGTTCTCAGGAGAAACATCAAAGGAATTTGGAGAGGAAACCAACAATGTCAGTTCAGGGGAATATCTTGGAGGTGGGAGAGGGGGGTGGTCTATAGATCGTTCCTGGAATTAAATTAAATTGAATTGGAATTCAAAGTGAATTGGAAGGTTCTTCCACAGGAAGCTTGCAGAGATTTTAAAGGAAGAGATGAGACATTTAATGACATTTCACAAGTGATGGGGATTATGAACATCCATAGCCTTAGTAAGACTGACCCACCATCCCAACCATAGTGAAATGCCATCTTGACTATAATAA